CTGCTTCATACTGTAAAGTTTACAATCAACTCAGAGCTATTTATTATCACTTGAACTACTAGTAGCTTGTCTTGTTCGATCTTAGAACACAAACATACTATACAGTTTCGGTCTAAATTCCTGCAATAAATGTTGTCATATGTCAAATGTGACCATTAAGTTTCACTTATTGATAATTGTCTTTCACTCTGATTTTATCGCATTAGATATTTCTGCGAATAAAATACTTACTGTGTATCCTCAGAACTTCCTTCATATCCTCTACTAGAAGTTTGTCTAACCATACTGATATTATCATTACCATTACCACCGTTACCGCTAGTGCTACGGTTACGACTATGTAAGGAATTTTGTGATGCAAGACGACCGCCTACTTCCATAAGTTCTTGCTAGGAATAAGTAAACTATGCTCAATGCCGATCTTTTATATTCACTTTTCCTTTTTTTTTCTTTTTTTTTAAATCCATTTTTTTCCAATTATGTTCAGCTGATTATCTCAAACAAACCATTTAACCATGGAAAGTCAAATATAATGTCACTTAGATAAATGTCTTTTTTCTATGTCTTCATAATAGAAGCTAATGAAGCAATCATTTCGTAGATTCCATTTTGACCGATTCCTTGTAAGAAATGATATATAATGCCGGAAATTTTATCAATATATCTTTACTGCTTTAACATTCTTCCCTTGTCTCACAACTTAGCTCTATCTTTTAACTTTCTGGTAGTTAATGATTTTACGTTGAATGATTTCCAACGGGTTCTTTGTCGAATTGAATTTCGTCAAAGTTTGAGGTGTTTAAGGTTGTGTTAGTATTAAAAGTTGTTAAAAGTGTATAAACGACTTTTAAAAAAAATAAGAATTGAGAAAAGCTTGACAGTGATATGGTTGACGAGTATAAGTAAAAAAAGTTGTAAGATTTTAAAGAGTGATGGAGACTGATAAGAGTAATAGTCTGAAGAAATAGACCAAAGATTATTATCCTCTTACAATGCCTGAATTAATATTACGGCATGGTTTTTCAGACTGTACAAAACAATAAAAGACAATTGTATTACAAAGTGGTCCTTCAGATTGTACAATATAGTGGGTGTTAGTTTTCATGGACCGCGTTAATTCATGGCAAAACAGTCCGAGGTGTCTGTGGAACTGTACGATGAGAAGGATGTGGCTTAAGATTATGGACATAAGGAGTGATGTAGATAAGCTTTCTTCCAGTAAGAGATTGCATGGTTACCTTGGGCTTAATTACATAGTTGCAGTAAGAAGATACAATGCAATAAATCGTGTTGTCAGTCATTTCACTACTTTCGGAAAATTGGACATACCAGTTAATAGATAGCTTCAGATTAGCATATCATCTGTTGGTCGTTCGTAATAATGTTTCCCGTTAAAATATTACAGAGCAAATTATTTGTTGGTTTCAGTTTTTTTAATTTGGTTAATTTCTTGTATGCTGTAAGTAGCTGTTGCATAACATATGCCGAAATATACGGAATATTATGATGGGGAAATATTCAATACGTGTACGGTCGATGCGTATACCACTAACTCGAAATATAATGCTTTCACGAGACTGGAATCCGTTGCATACTGGAAATCGCTTTTTCGAGATATATTTATGCCTCGAGGCTACCCGCAAAGTGTTTCCCCTGACTATATGAATTATCAAATATGGGATACTATACAAGCTTTTGCTAGTTCTATGAGCTCAGCTTTGGCTACCGAAGCAATCTTGCGCGGTGTAGGCGTTGGTAATGAGGTGATTATCAGCTTATCACTCGGTTATTATTATAAAGATTTCTAACATCAAAATTTTCTACTGCAGAATAGTGCCGTTACACAAATATAGGACTTGCAAAAATCATTTTCTTTGATTGTATTCAATTTTGGATTTCAAAATCAGTTTGAGACACGGTACTGGGGAATTGTTAGAAATAAGTTACGTAGCAACACAGTACAGCTTTATTTAGACCAAGAAACGATTGTCCATCAGTTCGAAGAGTTAAAAGAATATGTTTTTAGCAAGACATAAAGATGAGAAATATGGATGGTGGAATGGTGATTTTATGAATGAGTGACTAATCCTGCCAAATATTCAAGTACTAAAATTATTTCAGACAGCATCAACGATGGCAGCAGCAGTTGCATGGTTGCTAAGAGATGGTATTGGGATGCTTACACGGATTTTGTTTGCATGGTTTTATAGTCCATATTTAGATGCTGATTGTAAGCAGTGGCGATTAATTGCTGATTGTTTCAACGACTTAGCATTTTGCTTGGATTTAATTACTCCAATTTTCCCTAATCTTTTTATGCCCATCGTATGCTTGTCGTCAATGGTACGCGGTGTTGTTGGTGTGGCGGGCGGTGCTACGCGCACTGCAGTTGTCAATCATCAGGTATGTATGTGTTTATCTGATTTCCACTACTTTTTTCAAACATTAACCGAAGTCTGGCTAGTGACGAAGAACATGACTGAAATCGACATTATCGCCACATTGGTTTGAATATACAGGATGGTTTGATTTTTAATTGTAACAGAAATAAATTCGATTTGTATCTTATTAAGAGACGGAAAGTGATGCAATGATTGGTTCCATAGCGCTTGATTTAGTGGAAGCTTTAAATAAGCCCAAAAGACACTGCAGCATGTTGGCTAGTGAAGAAGGACATGGCTGGAATCAGCATAATCGCCAAATTGGTTTGAAAAGATGGAACGGTTTGGCTTTTAATTATAACAGAAATAATAAATTTGACTCGTACATAATGTGGTTTTATCTAATTTTTGCAGGCTATATTGGATAATGTGGGAGATGTTGCGGCGAAAGACGGTTCGCAGGAGACGCTCATCAATATTTTCGCTCTTTTTTGTAGCTTGCTATTGCTTCCTATTGTTAACGGAAACATTTGTGTTTGGTTGCTATTCTGTATTTTTACATTCATTCACTTGTATGGCAATTATCGTGCAGTTAAATCACTACAATTCAGGACGCTGAATCAATCATTACTTCAAATTATTGTAAAGTATGTCTTTACAGAGAACAAAAAAAATCATAACTGCATGCTACGCGTTGTATGTGTTATGCTATGCGATTACGGAATGTAATTTTTGGACAGTTAATTGATGGGAATGAGTTGCGATTATCAGAAATTTAAATCGATCAGAATATTAGATTGAATTGGGATACATTGCTAGTCATTTATGGATAAAATCTGTTTACCCACAAAATTTTAGTGATTACTCGTTACAGAGTATTGTTTTTAATGAGTCCTTTCATGAATCCCCACAAATCCATTAGTCCTTTCTAAACTTGTCAATTTTATTTGTTTTTTCTTCAGGAATTATGCGGAAACGAAAAAGATTGATACTGTCAGTAAAGTTAACAATAAAGAATCGATGCTGTTACATTGGAATTCATCACGGCGGTACTATGGATGTCGTTTATCGGATGTAGTAACTTCGTCGGATGAATTTTCATTTGTATGTTCGAAATTTACTGTTATCTGCGATTTAAGGAGTAATTATGGTTATGTATCAATGGCCAGTATATCCGATACATCTGATCAACTTCGGGCTGCACTCTGCTTGGAGCTGATGTTGAATACGAGAACGTTTGTTTTACTTTTTTGGTCTATTGCTTTCAGTGAATAGTCTTTGATAGTTCTAAAAAAGTTCTTGGTCAGTCATTTCTTATGTGCATTTTGTGCCATAGGGCGATCATTATTGCAAGGGTGATGAGATGATCTTCCTTGAAAAAAGACCTTACTGAATAGAACATTTTTCATTCCTGGTATCAATTAGGTACTTTTTTCGGCATCATGACGGATTTTGACAGACCATTTTTTCTTATTTTTGTTTTGCCTTTTTTGGTATTTTCCAGGACTTTTCACCTTGTGTGAAGGACTAATTACAAGTGTGAACTGTGTGAACTAATTACAACTAATTACAAGTTTTAAAAGTGTGAGGTAAATTGATTCCAGACTTCCCTCACCAGCTGAACTGGACGAATTTATTGAGGGATTGAAGGTAGAAGGTTGGCTAGTCAACAAGCATCGACTTGTGTTTGACTGCTGGACTTACTCAGAGAAGTAATTCAGTTTAATTTTGTCGTATGGTTTGTTTTTTTCCCTAAGGCATGTTCATTATTTTTTATCTTATTTATCATGTGTAAGGTTTTATATTGAAAAAACGCCTTGAGCAACTTCTGTGATTAGAATTCAATAAGGTAAAAGACACTCTGGTTCATTGTCATTTCTCCCCTAATTGATTTTGATTTACAGCAATCTTCTAGCTCATTAGCTTTTGGCGTCTCATTGCTGTTGTAATCCACACACAAATAATGATTTACTATTACATATTCCTTACGTGATTATTCATTTATTGTGACTAGTTCATTTTTGAAAATTTCGATTCTGAAATTCCTTCCTCATCTTTCAACTATAAGAAATGCCTTAATAAATTTTTTTAGATTTACTGAGATGCTTCTTCATGGCGGTTGTAGAATGACAAACAAATTGCAAAAGAAATTGTTCGATTGAAATTTGTGCGAAATGATTTTGCATTGTAGAAAGTAGGACTAATGTTAACTTTCTTAAAACGCTTCATATAATAGTCTCTCCGGATGTTGGCAAAGCCGAATGGATGTAATTAGTTGTATATAGGATGTTAAAAATATCACATAGCGGGCATATAGCTTCAAAGAACTGAAAGGAAAATTTATATCAGATATATCCTGATCCACTAGTAAACAAGCAGGATTAACCAATCAAGAAACGACGTGCCTATATTCAGGAGAGGGTGAAGTGCAACGGCAACCAAAATGTCATAATACACTTGGAGCAAACAAGAATCACAAGAAGCCACCCTGGGAATGGAGTTTATCGAAAAAAGGAGGAGCCCGAAGGATTTAAAAGGAGAGGACTTCGAAGGTTGAACAGTTTGGTAGAAAAAGGTTCGGCTAGCAGTTCGGTTGAAATGTTCAATAAAAAAAGTTTAATTGGAGTACAACATCACCAGCTCCAGTTTATCAAAAGCGATAGTTCAACAGTGGGTGGGCAGTGGCATGGAAGTAGAAGAAGTAGCAGTGGTGGAGTAAGAATACAGCAGTAATTACAAAAGGAATGTGCAACACGGTATTCAGAGGGCTATTGTTATTCCTTGAAATTTACTGTGTGTTCATTTCGTCCTTATAATTGCGTAATATCGTATAGGACTAATGAGGACTACTGTCGATAGAGTGGAATCATAGGAACAAAAAGAATAAGTACAACAAGATCTCCCAACAAATATTATCTTCTTGAAATACTCCGTATAACAGTCTGTCCGATGTATCCCTAGTTTTGAATCTTGAGGTGGAGAGTATGTAAGAAAAAGAAGTCATAAAAATGGATTGTGAAAATCGATCGAGCAATTTTGGATCAGTTGAGATCACCTGAAGTTGTGTATTCAGAATTTACAAACATATTACAGGAAGTGTAATGAGGAAAGAGATGGAAAGAAGTCGAAAATCCGAACAGCTCATGTATTGTAGCCATTGGCTAGTATTCATCATTCAACATTCATACAATATTTTTAAAGCATTGATGATTGGAATAACCGAAGATTTATTTATATTAAAGCATTCAGCTAAGTAAATTGATGTAAAATTAAAAGAAAAGAAATCAGCATAGTAAAAATAAATATCACAAAATTGATGATAATTACAGGAACAGGTCAATCGTTAAAAAAGTATAGGAGTGTTCGTAACAGTCAGCCTATCTTTTTCGGTACTGTTTTTTGGATAGATGATTCATTTATTATAAGTTCTTGTACCCGTAGTTTATATTATATGAGAGATGATTTAAAAAACGACTTTAATCCATTTAAGCCATGTCAGAGCTTAATTAAGTCATTAATTAATATCAGTAGTAGAGAAGTATCGATGATGCCCAGGAAAACTAATCTTTTTTCCATATTTTTTAGAGGAACATAGTTACATTATAATATATCAACGGTTGTTTAGGATCAAAAAGATCAAAGCGCAAAAGTCTGAAAAAAAGTAAAGTCACAATTACTAAAAAGGAGAAAAAACCAATTTAAGGTTAGCCGGGGATTTCTATAAAAGGAGTAATTTCGCTTATCTCGTTGATCCAGATAGATTTTTCGTTGTCAAGCCTGTCCTGTTTTCTTTTCAATTTTACCAATTTATAGGTAATAAACGAATTCATTAATATTTGACAAAAAAAAAAAAAGCATATTGATAAAACAAACAGCAATGATATATTTTTACTTTAGCTGGAAGGATTAAACAATTTGTAGTGACAAAAAATATTATTAAATTGCTTTATTTATTTTCACAAATCATTTGATTCGAACGTTTTAGTCATTTACTTGACAGAAATACAAAATAAAATTGTAAGTTTTCTCTCAATAAGTCATGGAAAACTTTCAGAAATGCTATTAGATATTAATTAAATATGATTTTTAATTATAGAAAGTTTATAAAATATTAAAGCTATGTCTGTCTGCCAAGAAAATTTGCAGTTTTGATTTTTCATGCCATTAGTAACATCCATTTGTGCAGCTTTTGTCCCTATCATTCTTCCGTTTCCTAAATACAAAAGAAATGATTGCTTGAAAAGAGACGATAAAACAAGAGAAAGGAAAATGATAAGATGATAATATGAAGTATGATTAATCTAAATAATGCATATTATTGAAAATAAATGTTTAGAAAAAAAAAGAGACGGAAAAGTTAAGAAGTAAGTTACTTTGGTAGATTCAAATTGCTTCAAATTGGTAATTTCATTTGAGGAAGACTGTTGTTGCTGTGGTAATTGAAAAGTTGTGGTAGCTTCAACATTTGTATCATTTTCTTCGACCATAATATCATGCTTCTCTTGCTCTTCCGGTATACGAGTTTGATACCTGAAATACAAAATTTCATCTATTTATTGCATTAACAACTTTTAATTTTCAATTTTATTTCATCAATAAATTTAGTCTGATTTTTAATTTTTAATTTTGTTTCATCAATAAATTTAGTCTGATTGTTTCGATCATATTTTGACGAATTTTTTTTAAATCTCATTTTAGTCATATTTTAACGAACTTTTTTCAAAAAAAAATAAAAAAAAATAAAAGAAAAAAAAAGAAGCATTAATGATTCTTTTACTCTGCTATTTTATGAAATTTAAAAAAAAAAATTGAAAAAGTTTGAAATCATCTTTTCTTTGAGATTAAAAAAAATGAACATATATGATGAATAAATGGTTACCATTCACGATTAAATTCAAGTTGATCAAGTATATATTGGGCATGTGGATTTACCAAATCAGCCCATGTTTCAAATAATGGATGCACGATAAAATCAATAAAGCCAACCTGAATGTATTAATTTTATATCTAGTTTATTAAATTAACATGAAAAATTTTCATTGTTTATTTATTTATTCATTTATTTACTTGCTTACCTGTTTATTTATTTTTTTCATTTACTTGCTCATCCACTTATTTATTTATTTATATGTTCACTCATTTGTTTGTTAATTAATTAACTAATTAATCAATTATTATCATTCTTATTGACCAAATATTTTCTTTATTTTAAATATTTGAAAGGCGCAACTTTGTACTTCCAGAAGTATATTTCTAATTTTCCCTATAATTTAAACCATTTAAAAGAGTGTTTTCTGAATTCTTACTAAATTCTCACTGATCTTGATATTCAGGAATAATTGAACATACTTAAATCATTCATATAATCCGATTTAGTGTAACGTACCCTTCCGGTATTAACATATGATGGCATATGTAATTACGATATTAACTTTTGATAAACTTCCCGTACGATACTTTGATAATCGCTACCAAATTGTTCTTAACAAATCCAACTACTGATGGATAAACTTTGCTGTGAAATATTTACCTGAGATTTCGCGATCGTAATATTATTTCGATCACACATCGGTGAGATATCAATGCCTAAGTCTCGTTCCCTATCACCTTGTCTCCAATATTCTTCCATGATATTCTTTACCCAAATGTTGTATAAATCAATTGGTTTTGTTGGATTTGATAAATCTGCCAGATGAATCATTGTTTGCATTACCTAAAAATACATACAAAATAATTTGCTCATAATGCTTTAATACATATAAATATCAATTATTGATTTAATTATTGGAAAATTTTTTGTTAACCGAGAAATTTTGCCGCGAAATTGTCGAGAAATTTTATCAAAAAATTATCAAGAAATTTTGTCCGGGAAATTATCGGGAAATTTTGCCGGGAAATTATCGGGAAATTTTATCAAAAAATTATTGAGAAATTTTTGCTTTTCCTAAAATAAAAATGTTAATAATTTAATGGAAAACCTGAATGCGATCTGTTTTATCCAATGTTAAAACTGATGAACCAGCGACTTTCTTTGCTTCAACCATAGTTTTCAGATCAGCTAATATACTCATATGTTTTGACATATCTGTAGCTAATACCTGTAAAAAGGATGCAATTAGGCAAAATTATTGATTGTAATTTCTAAAAATATACAAATTATTAATTAAGCATGAATGAGCAAAAATTTTAAAATACCAATCTTTTTTAAAATATCCATACATTCTTTTGTTTGGTAATTTTCAAATGTAACATTTCGTCAAAATATATTTCGCTAATTCGAGAAAGGAAAAGATTGCTAATAAAGATTGCTTAGTTATGTAAATGATGTTATCAGGTTAACAGTTGTAAAATATTAATTGAAGGAAAATTTTGAAAATTAACATATTTTCTTTTAAAAAAGTATTAAAATACATGAATAATTCTACAAGTAATATTGCAAGATTTTGCATTATGCAAATTTTATCAATGCCTTATTCCTTAACAATATATTAATAAAATATGCTACATTTGAATATTAGTAAATTAATTTATTATCAACGAATCTTCCGCTTGTTTTACCGTTTTTTTTTTCTACAAATTATTTTATTTCTACAATTCAGATAAATTCATTTTTCATACGTATACAAAATTTTGTCGAACAATTAATTATTAATTTATACTATTTGTAAAAGAATTGCATTTGATTCTTGTCATATTATGTTATTGTAATTCAATGCAAAGAAATATGATTAATTAAAATCTGAGTAAAATTTTAAGATATATAAAAAATCAATTCTATAAATTATAATATAGCAATAGCAATCCAAATATAAAATTCATAGAAATTAATAATTATATTATATATTGTTTAATTCTTCCTCTAAAAGGGAAATTTAGTTAGTATCATATTCAGTAAATTAGAATATTAGAAAAAAAAATCTAAATTAGAAAATTATTTAAAAAATCTAAACCTAGATTAGAATATGAAAAAAAAAAACACAAACTAGAATATTAAATTAGAATATTATTAAAGAATGAAAAAGATTTAAATCAGAATATTATTAAAGTAATAAAGTAAATGAGATATAATAATGAAATGTGCTTTATGTAACAATGATTATAACATAAAATTATGATTGTATAATATTATTAAAGAATAAAAAAAAGTATTTATGTCTGAATAAGTTTGATTGTGAAGATTTGAATTAATTTAAAAAAAAAACACAAACCATTTCAATGGTAAGCTTTCGGAATAGTTGACGTTGTTTTTTATTAAGTGACACGATGAAATTACAATTAGAATCTTGCAATAATTTAAATGCAACTGCTAAATGATGTTGTTCCAAGACTGATTCATCGTTGTACATAATGGCCAATTCTGAGTCTATAAAAGTAAAAAAATTAATAAATTCATTTGTTTAAAATCATTTACTTTGAAATCATTTCATTATTTGTTTTATCATGAAATGATAAAATATTATATTTTATCATAAAATCATTTTATCATGGAATTATTTATTTGAAATCAATTCATTTGAAATCATTCTAAAAAAAAGAAAAAAAAGAGGTTAATTAATTAATTAGGTATGCATAGGAAATGTTCATTTTCATTTGTTTAATAAAAAAGAAGCAAAAAAAAAAATGAAGGAATTTTAACTCTGAAATACTTGATACAATGGTGAGTTTTTTGTTTTTTTTTTCTCAATTTTAATGCATATAAAAGAATGTCTCAAAAAAGTTTTGTATTAATTTTTTTAAAATTTCATTTTAGTATGATGAATCAAAAAAAAGAAATTACTAGTATTAATGAGATAATGATTGGTAAAACCAGGATGATCAACATCATGGATGGCACTTGCAAATATCGATGTTAATACTTCCAGTTCCGAGAAAACATTCTGAAATTTGAAAAAAAAAAGTAAAAATTAAAAAGAAAAATATGATTTTTTTTCTTCCTTTTTTATAATATTTTCTCTTCACTAATACAAAATGTATAATAGGTTAGAAAAAAAAAAAAAAAACTTCTGAATATTAAATTTTAGGTGTTATTTAGAATTTCCCAGGAAAAAATCCATAAATGCATGAAAAAAGTAATGGTAGTGATAAATCAAAATATCCTGATTTACATCACATTTCTTATAAAAAAAGAATATAATCTGGAGTAAATGTTTTTACAACTGATAGTTGTTCATCCTAAGATCAACGGGGAGGTGAATAGAAAATTATTAGTGAAGGAAAAAAAAAATTTGGCCTTTTTTTTTGTAATTGTAACTTTATTCCAACATATTTCTCTTTTAGCATATTATAAATTTATGCTAAGTTTTATTAATATATCAAAAATTTTGATGTAAATTAGCAGAATTTATTATTTTTTAAGTCTTATTTATAAAAAGTTATAAATAGAAAAGTTAAATTGATCTCTGATCAACAAAAAGATTAAAAATCACTAACCTAGTGGAAAGGTAAAAAAAAAGAAAAATGATTAACTAATGAGAAAAATAGTTGAATCATAATTATGCTATAACGATAGTAATAGCAATAATAGCAATAATAATAGTATTTTATAATGATAATGACAATTATTATTATTAATAATAAAAACCTGAAGAGCTGGAGATGAGATAAGAACATTAACAGATTGAGTGACATCAGCAGCATGAACTTGATTATGATATGGATTATCCCTGTAGTGATGCTCCAAATGAAGCAAATAATTTAACAAAATACCTGATGGAATTTCAAATGTTTTCAATAAACCTCGTTTCTGAAATATGCAAATTTTTAGTATAATATATCACAAAATCTTTGCTAATTATTGAAAGTATATTTGATTCTTTTTGAGCCAAAAAAAATTGTGAAATGGTATTTTTGCTGGAAAAATATTAGAATATCAGTTATAATATTAATTAATAATATTTTTTAAAAAAAAAATGCAAAAAGATTGGTACCAGTTTTTTAGATAATTAATTAAACTAATTAATAAAATAGAATAAGAATTTAACAATGAATTTTGCAAGAATGATAGTAATTGATCTATAATCTTTTTTTTTTTTTATTCATCAACAATAATGCATACATTTTTATGAGAAATATAGATATAAACAAGGAATTATATACTAATTATTTATGATTCATATATTTTTCAAAATTTTGAACCATCCCTATGGTAATCAATATTTAACCATACAATTGGTAAAAATAAAATTGAATTGTAGGAAATATTTTTTTTTTCATCCTTTGATGAGAAGATAAAACTATTATTTTTGGCATTCATTAAAAACAAAAAGAGAAAGCTCTCGAATTTTCTAAAGAGCTTTTTCATCTTCCCTTTATTTCTAAATTATTTCTTGCCATTTAAAGCTTTTTATTTTATTTTTTCTTTTATCAAATTAACAAAAATAAAGCAGCCTATTGAATGGCTAATGATTTAAGCAAAGATTAATATCATTTGAAGCATGAAATGCAATAGCATTTTGATGATTTCAAATATTTTCCCTTCAATTAGCTTGATTTTGGTATATTAGCAGCTGCTGTTAATTGATAAATATTTTGTAAACAATGAAAATTTTTGAAATCATATTTTAATAAATGAAATAGTTCACTAAATAACTTTAGCGGATATAAACTATTAATAATACTGTATAAGAAATGTTATATATGAATTATAAAATAAAATTGAAAAAAAAGTATATAAATATAAAAATAAAAGAATATTAAAAAAATTAAAAAAGTATATAAATTAAAAAAAAGTGTATAGTTTCGAACTATAAAACAAATTGCAAATAATTTTTAATTAAAAAGGAATAAATAATAAATGATTTCAAGCAATAAAAAAGTACAAACTTAGAAATGAATCATTTATCATTTGAAATGAATCATCTGTTATCACTTGTTTCTTTCATTATTTTAGCTATAAATTACAAATAACTGCTATAAAGTGTAAATATTAAATTAAAATGTGAAATTAATATTAATCATATGTAAATTTGGTTTTACATAACATTGTCACTAATATATTTTTTGTCACTAATATTTTTTGAAATGAAAAAAAAGATTTGAATATATTTAAAAAAAAAAAAAAGGAATGAAAAGAGGAGGATATAAACTAACTTCCATAATAGTGAAAGTAATAGAAGTAAGCGAATGTCCTTTACTGAATTCATGTATTTTGAATATATTTGGGCCCCATTCATCAAGCTTAAATAGGAATTTAATTAATTAATTGAAAAAATAAATAAAAGCAATTAAACCATTTAAAGTAATAAATCAAAAAGAAAAAGGCATGTATAATAAATGTGCCAATTTTTCGAAATAAATAAAATTTAAATTATTCAATAAATTAGCTAAATGTTATCATTGAAGAATGTTATCATTCAAAGTTATTTTTTCATGAAATTTTCATTCAAACTTTTGCTATAGCAAATCAATTCATTAGCTAATCTAATTAGTACCCAAAATTATTTTTGGAATTTTTCTTTTTTTTCCTGGCACATTTTCTTATATAATAATATTATTTGTTTTGATAATATGACTAAACTTATTTTAAAATAAATTTCAATATTTTAAAATCAATGGATAATGTAATTTTAGCATGAAGAAAAAAAAGGATTATATTATTATTTGTATAAATAAATATACCTTTTGCATATAAACTTCTAATTCTTTATGACCATCAACACCATATTCTGGTATATGACCACCACGGGGTGATTTTATTTTACGTATACCAATAATTCGCGACATTGCCGCTGTTTTAGCTTTACCCAGCAATGATATAGAAACATTATCTAAGGAAGAAGTAGATGCTGTTTCATCTGATACCTAAATTTGCAATGATTATTATTTTGAAATTTTGTTTGTTTCCGGAATTTTTAAAATTATTGTAAATTTTAAAATTGTTTTAAATTTTGAAATAGAAAAAAAGTGTTTATTAAAAATTGCTGATTACAAAAATAAAAAAAAATGTGAAAAAAATTGAAGCAAATATATTGAATTTAAGTGCAAAATAGTGAATGTCTTTTAAAATTTTCGAAAGAGGAAGAAAGAAAAAAGTTCATATAAACATAGAGAAATGAATATGTAAACCCAATCACATTGTACAACTACTATTGCTCAAATAGTAACTAAAGAGAAAAGTAAACAGTGATAAAAATGTTGAATGTTATTAACCACTATCATTTCTGTTATTTATTCCTATTGCTTTTTCTTTTTCTTTTTTTCAAGTATTTCTCAAATTAATTTTATTCAAAAATATAAATGAAAAATGCATTACTACTGTGTTAAATTTTCTTTAAATTAAAAATATAGAAATTAAATTTATTTCAAAATTTATTAAAAAAAAAAGATGGTAATATTTTGGATTAACCCTTAAATTTTGTGATACTTCATCATCATCCTTGTCCATATAAGTATTGATAAGAAACTGTGACACCTGAGTACCCGATTTAGATGATTCCGCGAAATGTACAAGCTCTTTGTTGAGCATTTTACGAAACTGAAAAAGAAAAAAAAAGGAAGAAAAAATGAACAATTAAATGTGATAATTTTAAAG